AATATCTAATGAAATATAAATTGTCAAACACAAAAACACTGGTGGTCATCGAGGTTTATGACGATTACGGCTGATTTGTAATTTATCCGTTCTTCACTGTTAATTTCAAGGAGTTATTTTAACTCCACCATAGGAGTTAAAACTACTCAACTCGGGAGAGTAAAAATTGTGGAGTAAAATATACTCCCAAAATAGAGTTAAAACTACTCCACTTCGGCGCGCATTCTACAATTTACTCCATCAGGAGTCAATTTTACTCCGCTGGAGGAGTAAACTAAACTCGCTTTTAGGAGTAGAAATTATGGAGTAATTTGTACTCCTTAATTTTACTCCAGGGGTCGTTTCAACTCCCAAAAAAGAGTAAAATTGTTCTGGATCTGGAGTAAATTATTACAATATATAATTAATGTGCCTGAGAATCCAAGAGTTTTTCTTCTGGAGGCTATACTCCAGTGGCGTCGCCAGGTTGTTCATACTGGGGGGGGACGAGTCGAGTGCCAAAGGCGCGAGACACCTAGGGTGGTTCGGGGGCATGCCCCCCCGAAAAAATTTTGTTTGTAGAGTCTCTAAAACGCTATTTCCCGCATTTTCAGGCAAGTTTTATGATAATCTGAAAGCCAAATATCGGCGATTTTTGTTACAAACTAACAGTTTTTACAAGGGCAACTTTCTGTTGCTAGCTAATCTAAATGTGTCAACAAGAGTATCCAATTCAATCTTATCTGCAATGTCTCTTTCTATGCTGATATGAACCAAATTTTCTAGACGTTCATCGGACATCGACGCTCGAAGGTAGTTGTTTATTATCTTCACTTTGCTATGTGCTCGTTCACAGGAAGCAACTGTTGCAGGAAGTGTAGCGACAATTTTTACCACCTCAAATAGATCAGGATACAGGTTGCTGATTGAATTTTCTCCAAAAACCTTTAAAAGAGTTGGCAGACAAAGCCAAGTCTCGGGTGCTTTCGTCAAGGGATCGTTGTTAGCTTTCTCTTTCATCTTAAGAAAATCTTCGTACTTCTCTTTCCAGACTTTAACCACATGAGACTTAGAAAACAGAATGAACTGATTTACGACAACATCGGGATCGATTCAGTAGAATTTGGCCAGCTTTTGGGCTTGGTGCGAATTTTCTTCTTTAAAATATGTGGGATGAAAAACGTTGGCCAGCGACAATATTTCACATGCTTTAGAAGAGAACCTCCTCTCCAGCTCGTTGTGCATCCAGTCCAAAAATGGGAAGAAAAAATCTCGCTTAAAGAGATCTCTTGGGCGGTCATTACCAGGTACTTCTTCTTGGATTGCTCTGGCGTCTTGGTCTAAATAGAATGTACCATCGTTGAAGTAGGAAGGAATTGTGCGCGGACGCTTTGGTCTGTTTGGATGTTGCTGATCCACCTGATCGAAGTCGTCCACAACCAATCCTTGGTCCGTGCAATATTTCCGTGCCTCCTGCAGAAACTGATCCATCTTTTCCTCGTTTCGAAAGGAGGACAAAGAATCTTTCAGAGATTGCACACCTGACACCGCTGAAACCAAGTCCATGTTTTCGTGCTGAAGATATTCTGAGACCGATCTACTTAGAGCAAAACACTTCTTCAATACGATACACGAAGCAATGAACTTGAGCTTTCGTATACGTACGAGCAATCCATCTGCAGCTGATTCGCCCTCTTTAGACATTGCTTTAAGCATCGATATGATAGCAGGCAAGGTGTTGAAAACAACCTCCAAATTGTCGGATCGAGCAGTCCATCTTGTGTCTGAAAGCGTGTGTAATGCTATCTTTCCCTTCGATATGCCATGAAGTTGTAGCTTCTCCTCATACAATGCATGCCTCTTCGGAGACCCTTCGAGATAGTGATAGACAGAACCAATAATATCAAATACGTCATTCACAGAAGGTACGTTGTTAACACTCTTCTCTAAGACAAGGTTTAGTTTGTGTGCAAAACAATGGAAATATATCGATTTATCAGCACCAGCTGCGGTGAGATGTTGTTGAACACCTTCGTCCTTGCCTGACATGTTACTTGCCCCATCAAAGCCTTTACCAACTAAATTGCGGATAGGAAAGTTCATGTTCGCAAGAATAGCAATGATAACAGCTGCAAGCCTAGGCTTTGTCCTGTTAAATTAGTCACACGATGTAGCTTAATTGATACACCTTTCCCAAATACAATAATCGTAGACATACCGAACAATAACAGACATAAATGCCCGTTTGTGGGATGTTACTTCGTCACATTCAATTGAGAAATATTTGGCAGAAATCACTTCAGATCTTATTATTTCAATGATCATATTGCTGAGGATGCCAATCATTTCATTCTGAATACTGGGAGAAAAATATGACAAATTCTTTGGGTGAGTTTCCATCCAACGTTTCAATGGCTTGTCATACTTAGATAGAAACAAAAGTTCTTCCAGGAAGTTTCCACGATTGGCAGAATCATTTGTCTCGTTGTGCCCACGGCCGGAACGCGGTATTTTGCTTCGCCAAATGTCGGACTACATCAAAAATCGTCTGGACAATCTGTCGATTTTCTTCTCGTTCTTGTTCTTTTCTTGTCTTCGAAGCTTCAGCTATGCCAACAAGTTGCACATCAATATGTTGGTTCTCACTTTTAAAGTTCTGCATGCGCTCCATTGATAGAATATGCATTTGCGTTTTAGCATGATTAGCCAGTTTTCCACTTTCGCCAGAAGCTTTTTTCCATGTACGAAAGCCTGTCTTTGTGAATGTTTCTTCTGAGCTTCCAACTAAAGTTAAGTTTTAGGTCTAAATTATACTCCATCGATAAATTACGCAAATCATTTTGTGTGGCGAAATATGTGGCGAAAAGAGCGGTTTTCTGACAGTCAGACTAGAATGAACTGAGTTTGAAATGTGACTATTGCATATGGTAACTTGAGGTATGATATGCCCAAAATAGCCGATTGCCGGGAGATACAGATAGTGTCAAAACCGCTGCATATATGTTTTAAAAAATCCTATTAGGATATTGCCGGAAGGTAGAAATAGTGTTAATTTACTGTCAAAACCGCTTCTTGGTTTTATTAAGCCTTTTGTCTAGTAGGCGCAAAAGGATGTTGCTCGTTATTAATCCCAATTTATTAAATTTAATAAATTGAAACTTTATTTATTTATTTACCTTCGCCAGTTATATAAATACGTACGGAATAATACAGTAGATAACATATTGACACATCCTACCCTAGTAGTCCAACTTACTCAGTCGCTGTTGCGATATTACATACTGTATATGCATCGCAATCGTAACATTGCTACTAATTAGGGGCTACCTAGGATCATACATTCAAACGCAATTTTCTTAAAAAAAACAGTGATAGCAGACTTCATATTAAATTCCTAAATGCTTGAAAGTTGTAAATATCATGAGTTTGTATATTAGTGAACTTACCAAGTGTCCCGAAGCACCTACAGTTAAAACAGAATGCTGCATCTTTCAGTACAGAATATTCTAGCCATGAATGGAGGTCATACCAACGAGATTGGAACTTGAAGGTTCTTTTCCCAGATGTTGATACGGGAAATTCGATAAGTGGTCTAATAGGACCCAAATTATTTACTATTAATGCTCGATTCGCTTCATTGACGATCTCCGTAAAGGGGTCGCGCGCTTCCATTTATGAGGATCTATGATTTCCATCAATGGCGCCAAAGAAAATATGAATCTAATGAGCAAAAGCAAAGGTTTGACTTCCGGTTTGAGCTGACGAAGTATTTGTACTTCGTGTTATAATGCTATTCTTTACGTTATCAAAAACAATGTTAATTGAATTCAAAATTCGTATCTCAAATTAATTCATCACACCCATTATTGAAAAAACATTAGAAATGTTAGAAATTAAAATAATCGTACCCCCCCCCCCCCTTTCTCTTCAGAATTAGAAAAATC